TCTGAAGGGGCACACAGACACACCATTCACTCAGTTGGTATTATATTGATGAACAACAACGATGCACATGACCTTGGTTCGAATCCCCGAATGGGAATTTTTAAAATTATTAACTTACGTCCTCATTGCTTTCTCGCTGTCAGTTAAAAGATAATTCTAATTTAAAATGTAAAAGTTCTTCTACAGATTGAGGGTTTTATACTGTGTTTCTTTTTTTCTTTTTTTTAAGCTTGCTCTTTTTTTGTTGTTGGAAAGATGGAAGTTGAATTTGAAATACAAAACGTACCTGGTGACTACCTCCTAAGGGATAATAATGACATGTAGCCTACATTGTTCACTACCTGTACTTTTTCATAATGGAAACTTTGTTAAACAGATGAGTGTTTTATGTGGTGTGATCTTATATAACTTAATGTAATTAAAGGAGTGTAAAAGTATTTAATGGGGGCTCTCGTGGCTTAGAGGTTAAGGTGTTCGCCGCACATTTAAAGGTCCCGGGTTCGAATCCGGGTAGCGACGGAAACATTTTCTTTTCTAAAATTGTCTCCTGTCCTTTTCACTAGCAATGTTCTGTCGTCTAGTTTCCTCTTCACTCCCCGCCCCCCACTCCATCACCTCCTTTACCCCCTCCTCTAGGCTCCTAACTCTTTCTGCAGCCTTTCTACTGCTACTCCTAGGTTCCTTCTTACTGCTGTCTTTCTGCCCCACCCCTCATCTTCTGGTACGAAAGATCTACACCTAGCCTTCTCGGACAAGGGCGAAAAATCTCGGAGGTCCCGTGTGCAAGTTGCGCGCGTTAAAGATCCCTTGGTGGTCTAAAATCGATAAGAGCAGGCTTCGGCCGCCACCCGAGAAAAATTCAAAATTTCCTATCGACTGAAAATGTTTAATGCGTCCCGCGCGCCCATATGACCTTATGCAGCTGCGAGCGCCGTAAAACACTTACAAAAAATAAATAAATGTACATATTCATACATTCTTATCTTAACAAAGACAAACCAGTAACAACCTATAGATAATTCGTAATCAGTAAAGATCTTACACACAAAATGGGTTGAATTTGGGTAAAAGCAAACACTCCACCGCCCCTTACACCCCCTCTACACAAACACACACACATACACACACACACGCACATACACACTCTATCTCTCTAGTCTCTCTGTCTCTCTCTCTCTCTCTCTCTCTCTCTCTCTCTCTCTCTCTCTCTCATTGTCTGTCAGTTTGTATGTCTGTCACATGCCTTTCAACCGGCTCCTTTACTTATGGCAGCTTTATTCAGATTTCTGTCTGCTCTCATCTCCAATATTTTCTCATAGTTTGATCTTAATCTTTTCTTAGGAGCGCGCGGTTGATAATGCCACCCAAGAAAAGAAAGGCCGCCATCGCCAATCACGGTATACTTGCTAAACTGTACGGTTTTGTTTTATGCTGGGTCGTTGTGACTAATGCTCGTCGCGTGTGGTGTGAACACAGGAAAGAAAGGGGGGGGGGGAGAAGAGGATAGGGGTTGTTTATATCCGATTTGTGACTCACGCCCGTGATAAAGAATAGTAAGATGTCTTTGTTTGTGCCAGAACTTCTCTCTCATTGTGCCCCATTTCCCACTCCTTTCATTGAACTGTGATTAACCCTGCAGGTTAAAAGAATGAATATAGGAGAAGGGAGAATAAAGGACAGTGGGGACCAAAAAAAAAGGGGGGGGGTATGTACTTTTTTTGGCATCATATTATTGTAATCCCTTAAAGGGTTACCGTTGCCTTATATTCTTCTTAGTATTTCCGTGATCCTATAAATTTCAACGTGGCTTTAAATCCCCATATGTTCAACTTATGTTAAAAAGAGTTTGTGGGCATGTTGTTTGAATTAAAGAGGTGTACAGTGACATGGCGGGCGAAGGCCATATCAAACAAGGACAAAAACAAGGTCTCAGACAGAAGTAGAAAAAGGTATAGACGAAAAATAGCCCTCGGACAGGCCACATTTTGGCTACGTGTAATATATGACATAAAGGTGTATATAGGTAGAGTT